CGGTATCAACTTGATTTAAGGAACCACCGATGGCAATGTCGCTTGCGTCGGTAAAAAGTGCCAATTGTGCGTTTGGATTAAGGTGCGTCAGGAGCATCGCGTTTGCTAATTTCTCCTTGCAGTGATGGAAAGCGTTAGTTGTCTCGCAATTCCCAATTGATTCGGATAAACGACGCTCTACTGTAGTACATATAATTTAATTCTTATTATTTGAAATATTTCGATTTAGTGCTAGTTTCAGAGACAAAATAATGGGGCGTTAAATCGAGATATGATTGCATTCCCTTATTTAATTATATTCACTATTTTAAATCGTGTAAATTATATATTTTTTCAGGGAAGAATTATACTTGTGATTTTGAATATGATATGTGTGAATGGAAGAATGAAAATGACGAAGGTTTAATTTGGAGTCGTGGTCAAGGATCTACCGTAACGCCTTTCACTGGACCATCCGAAGATCATACTAAACAATTAGGTTAGTGTTTATTACGTTTAGCAGTGTATAAAACAAAATACAAGTAGATTAAGTATTGATTTTTAAATAATAACAAATAGGGAAATTATACTTCGGTAATAAATATTTTATAAGTAAAAAGAAATATTAGTGAACTATTAATTAAATCTCTTAATTTACTTATCTATAATTTTAAAATTTGATTTAGGAAATGGATGGTATGTGTATGTGGATGTCAGTAAGGGTAAAGGAAATGCAAGATTATTAGGTCCTGAGATTAATGGAATATACTGTTTGCAATTTTGGTATCATATGTACGGTGCAGATGTAAACCGCTTAAGGACATATCTGAAGATCAAAGAAAAGACAGATGTGGTTTTTCATCGCAAAGGTACGCAAGGCTTTCGCTGGAAAGAAGCAAAAATGACAATTGGAAATAAAGATCTTGTATACCAGGTTTGTTTTCTTTTCTTTTCTCGTGGAAAAATAGAAGTAACTATGTTTTAAATAAGGTTTAATGTAAAAAAAATGGCCGGATGGCTGACTAGTTAAATTAAGGTAGCAGCCCATTGCTCTGGGATCAAATCCGGATTAAGTCCGGGGTTAAAGTCCCTAGGAATTTTTCGGGGTGGTTCATCTGGTTATATCGGATGCCGTCCCTCATAACGACGATCTCGTTGGCGTTGGTGCTAGTTGATGCATTAGCTCTTTGCATTGTTCGACGAAAGCTGCTCCATTTGAGTCTGGTGGTGTAGGGGCGAGGAAATTGTCGGGTAGCCGTAAAGTCATTCCGTAGACGAGTTCGGCGGTTGTTGCTTTGATGTTCTCTTTAAATGCAGCTCGCATCCCTAGCAGCACTGACGGCAAGACCGCCGTCCAACGTTAGGTCAAGCAAGCCTTGAGAACCAATTTGAGTCTGTGGTGTCTGTGGTGGCTGTTCTCTACCAAGCCGTTTGCCATTGGATGAAAGGCTGTAATGTGGATATGGCTGCTGCCCAATAGTTTGGTCAAGGCTTGGAATAGGTGCGATTCGAATTGCCTATCCTGATCGGTAGTGATCGTCTTGGGTACATCGTAATGCGCGACCCACTGACCGTAAAAAAACTTTTGCAACAGTCTCTGCGGTACAGTTGGCGATCGGGAAAGCCTCCACTCAACGAGTGAACCTGTCGATAAGCGTGAGGCAATATATGCTACCTTGCGAAGATGGAAGGGGACCTACCACGTCCACGTGGACATGTTCGAAACGAGAGTCAGGGACAGTGGCGTACCGTAGTGGGGGCGGCAGGGGCGGCCCGCCCCGGGCGGCACTTTTAAGGGGGCGGCAAAATTACCTTTTAGGAGGCGGCAAAATTTCACAATAAATAATAATAATATCTTGAAAAAATTTGAAACATCCTAATCTATACTTGCATCGCGCCTACGATAGTGCTATCGTCCTGCGAAGTAGCGATAGTATCGTCTAGTGAATCGGCTCGCCGAGTGAACTAGTAACATTTTCATCCAAGGAATTCCTGCGAAACTTGTTGATCCTTTTTTTTCTTACTTGTATGATTCATTCGCGTTCATATACACCACTAATATCCAATAGAACTATTTTAAAAACAGGTCGCTGCACTACCACCGAATTTTTCATTACTTGTTTTGTGACAAAACTGAATTTTGGTCTTTTAAATTGAAATACCTAAATAAGGGGGGCCGAAATTTCCCTCTGCCCCGGGCGGCTGACACCCACGGTACGCCACTGGTCAGGGACCTGAAGGTTTTAAACAGGGCCTATGAATTTTCGGTCGTTTTGACCCACATCCGGGAGTCTTTTCTGATGGAGGGCCAAACAAAACGGCTGGTTAATAATTTTGTAGTAGCTCTTATCCCGAAATGAGCCAAATTGTGTGTGGCGTCGAAAACTTGTTCGCGGAATTTCTCCGGAATATATGGGCGAATTTTGTCCGTAGATATATCGCAGAATAAGTTGGGCCTGCATCTGTCAATGGCATCTGTTTCAGCCGCAAGGTCGTATTGGAAGAAAGTAGTTGTTGTAATTCGGGGTTGCTGATCTGGGCTTGCGCGATGCTCGTGTAATCTACTGTGTTTGATACAGTACTTCGATCGTTTCGATGTTTTGCCACTGCCATTGACGTACCGGATGTCAGTGCTGAATTGCCCTATGAAGTCTAAGTGCCTTAATTGCCTAGGTCTGTACTTCTCTGGCTTCTGACTAAGGCGAAAGTCAGTGGGCGAAGGTCCGTGAAGACCATAAACTCTCTACCTTCCAGCATGTATCTGAAGCGCTTGATTGACGAGTTTATGGCATGAAGCTCTCTATCAAAAACGGACCATTTTCGTTGTGGTTCCGTTAATTTGGCAGAGAAGAAAGCTAGTGTGCCACTGGCGGTATCAACTTGATTTAAGGAACCACCGATGGCAATGTCGCTTGCGTCGGTAAAAAGTGCCAATTGTGCGTTTGGATTAAGGTGCGTCAGGAGCGTCGCGTTTGCTAATTTCTCCTTGCAGTGATGGAAAGCGTTAGTTGTCTCGTCAGTCCATTGGATTTTGTTGTTGGATTTAAGATTTGATCCTTTTAATAATTCATTTAGTGGGGGCTTGTGCTTGGGCTACGTTTGGGACGTTCCTACGATAATTGTTAAGTAGCCCCAGATAACGTCTGAGCTCGCGAACCGTCGTCGGAATTTTATACGCTAGTATAGGGTCTACGCGTTCGGGTAGTGGTTTAATGCCGTCCTTGCTAACTAAATATCTCAAAAACGGTAGTTCTGGGGCTCCCAATACACATTTCCTCAGATTTACGCTGATGCCGTACTCGGATAAATGATGGAAAACGGTGTCCAGATGTTTCTCGCACTGTTCCTTAGATTCACTGACAATTAAATGTTGTCGAGGTATGCGAAGGTGAAGTCGAGTCCTGGAGTACTTCATTAATGAATCAGTGGACAGTTTGCCCGGCGTTGGACAAACTGAACGGCATGCATACAAATTCGATAAGACCAAAAGGGGTTGTGATCTCAGTCATTGGGATGTTGTCGGGATGTACTGGTACCTGATTGTAAGCGCAGACTAAGTCAACCTTGGAGAATATGGTTTTATTGAATAAGAAAGAGGAGAAATCTTGCAGATGTGGTCGTGGGTAGCGGTCGGGAATAGTAATCGGATTCAAAGCTCAGTAATCACCCGTTGGTCTAAAATCGCCATTTGTCTTGGGTACCATGTGCAAAGGGCTAGCCCAGTTGGAGGTGTTGGGCCTGCAAATTCCGTGCTCCATTATATATTGGAATTCTTTTCGAGCCGCCGCGAGTTTGGCTGGGTGCAGTCGGCGGGGTTTGGCAAATACCTGCTGTCCCTTTGATATAATGCGGTGTGCAGTGTGGTGTTTGGGTGGCCAGGGCGTCCCTGTGGGGTAAAGGCGGAAAATGTCGTGGTACTTTTCCAAGATATTCCGGTATGCCGCGCTGGCTATCAGCGTTACTTGGGGAATTTTCGTCTCGGTCTTTTTACCCGTGGTGGATAGGTTCGTAATTGAATCGGGAAGACTTGTGCCTTTTAGGTCGATTAACAATCCGTAGTGCCGTAGAAAATCGGCGTCTGTAATTGGCTTACTAACGTCGGCTAGTACGAATGCGGCGGAGATTAAGCTCGAGCGTGACTAACTTGGTACCATACGTTCGTATTGGTGTACTATTTACCGAATAGATCCTCACGGCGTGGGATTCGTCCCGCATGCCTTTCCTTGAGAAAGGTAAAACGCACACATCACTTCCTCTATCTACGGTTAGAAGCAGGGTCGAAGATGAATAAACGGCTCTTATTGTCGGGTCTGAAATCGCAGCGGGCCGTCTCGTGCGATTTCCTTAGGGGTTTCCCGACTTGCGAAGAAAGCATGGACAGCAGCAGCGTTTTGCCTCTCTCCCGTATTTCTGATGATACCAACACTGGTTGCTAGCATCACCTTTTAGCCGCCGCCAGCGTGGTCTACCCTGTCTAGCTTTTTCCCGAGAGCGGGCTAATCGTTCGATTCTCTGATTTAAAGATTCTACCGATATCTGGAGCTCATTTAACTTGGGACATATTCCGATAACTCAACGAGAGCGATACACGGGACCTTTGTTAAGTTTCCTTATCGAAAGGCATGAACTTTAGACAAATCGTTATTCTGTGCTCCACGTTAAGTGGGTTTCGCTAGGGGTAGTCGGTCGAGATGAGTCCGGGTTCCACGCTATCGATAGCTATTACGCTTTAACCAATCACAGTTTAGTTAACATTGTATTTTTGTCACGTGACTGCAACCCGCCATTTTCTAAGCGAAGCACGTGGTTTCAGGATTGTCGCGTACCAACTCTAGTGAATAGTTTTGTTTTAAAATGTCGAAGAAAGGCCAACGAAGCCATCGAACTACAAGTTGCCAGTTCGAGATGCTCGTTAATTTTATGGAAGACAATTCTAAATTAATGTCAGGGAAGTTAGACGCTTCCTTTACCGTAAAAGATCGACAGAAATTGTGGCAAGAAATAGCCGACCGTCTGAATTCCGATGGAGTCGGCTCAAAAAGACCCAGAAAGATGGCGAAAAGTAACTGATAGCTTTCAATATAAATATATAAATATTATTTTAATTCATACATATGCGAATGAAACCTATTTCAGAAACAATGTTCATGCTATAGCTACTTACTTTAAATTTTAACAAGAAAGCAATTACATTATTCATAAATAGTTAAGGTAATTATTTTTAAGCAATACAACAACATAGTTTATTAACTCTCTCTCTCTCTAATTGCTCGTGAAGTAAAATCATTCTTACGCCAAAAGACACAATGTTGTTTACACTTTTGTTACATTCCTAACAGCAGCTCGAGAGTGATCGATAACAAAAGCTTAGTTATCACACGTTGCTATTGCAACCGAAAACGAAACGTACGGCTCGGAATAGCATTTTCACGGTTGATTAAACGGGAATTACGTGGTTCCGATAGAAACTAGTTTTTATCGTATTCGTTAGCTTAACGATACTACTCAGAATAGGTCCTGGGCTTGGGTATTATCTGAGCTCTTTTGAACTTCTTTAATGCTCGCATATGTTACTTCACCTATTTTGTCAGCCATGGTAGCTAAGTTTTTTAAACCGTCATCGGAATTGCCTGAGTCTGGTACGGCAGTCACTGTAGCCATAAGGTTTTTAGGAAATCTTCTCCTAATTTTTTGTTGGCTAATTGCCTCATTTTTCTTAGTAAATGGGATGGTTTTTCGTCTTTCAATGTGATGTCCGAGATTAGCGCTTTGATTCGCCTCTGCTCTGAGTCTGAGAAATCAGCAAGCAGTCGGGCCTTAAGCATGTTGTAACGGTTTTCGGCCGGTGGATTGAGAATGATGTCTCTCACATAGTTCAAAATGTTGGAATTGAGAATGGGAATGACCGAGTAGTATTTGGTACAGTCTTTCATGATACCAGAGATAGCAAACTTGGCCTTGCTATTCACAAACCACAACTCTGGGGTCTTGTCCCAAAATGGGGGTAATCTGAGAGCCACTCTGTTTAATGACCACTTCTCATTTCCAATTACTATTCTACTCAGAAATGGGGTTTGCTATTGGTTATGAAGATGTAAAATTCCTATGGGGAATTGATCTATATTCAGTAAGACTGTGGAACCTTATTCCATACCTGTTTATCATTCTTGCAACTGCATAATTGCTGTTGATTGGGACACTTCAAGTTTTTTTACACTTTCTAATTTAGATAGTTTTGGATCAGCTTCCACTATTGCAGAAATATCAGCATTTTCTAAACTAGGTCTTTTAGAGCAAAGCTCATCTTCAAGATTGAATTCCACATCCTTAAAATTTTAAACTAATGCTGGCATTTTGACATTTAAAGCTTCACTGTGATACACACTATATACTGTAACAGGTGTGTTATCTTTTTAAATTCATATAATATTACATGATTTAAGGTTTTTCTGAGAAGCTCAGTTTTATTGACACTATAATCTAACTTTTTAAAAAATAATCAAAAGCCATTATGAAAAAATTGCTATGTAGTTTAAAAATTAGGACATGAGCTAATAGTGTATTTTACAAATCATACTACAGCATGAAAACAATGCTCAGAAAAATCAATATTACTTATGATTCAAGTCAATACTTTTTGCATTGTCAATCACTGATCAGTACAATGTGGGCAGATTCATCCATTGATCTACTCATTTGAGTTTAACATCAACTGATGTTACTTCATTATTGGTAAATGGTAAATTTACCATTTATGAGAAAAACATTTCATAAATTTCTAGTATAACACTTATGTGCAGTGGCGTTACAGGAGTGGAGTTCCAGATATGGAACTCCACTCCTGTATCGCCACTGCACGTAAGTGTTATAGTAATAATATATGTCGGCGTGAAGTGCAAATATATTATATAAGTTTCTAGACTTTTTCATTTATATAATGTTCAGCCGAAGCCTTTTTTCTGTGCCTATCTTTATGGTTATATTTTGCTATATTTTCTAAATAAGCCTATATATATATATAGAAAAATTCAAAAAAATTTCAGAAATAAGGCTTTCATAGTATCAACATGAATTAATATAATAGACTCTAATTCAGCTATTCCATGCAAGAGGGGTAACAGATTACTAAGAACGTTTGGACCTAAAAGCACGAATGACATAACCTGTTACACTTCAGTACCAATTATTTTTGAAGTTGAGCAGGCAATAATATGATGCACTGACATGCAATACTAAGCAAAAAAATAAAACAGGAAAGCATGATATATGACATAACTAACCTTTTTATGTAAATAGTAAGCTGGATAATTGAGTTGCCAAATTAGGGAGAGTCTACTAAAGTTGGAAATCTATTCAGATCATATTAACACTTACTATTGTATTTATAAAGTTCTTTAAAATAAATGAAACAGTTATAGATTAAAAACTTGAAACTATAAATTTATAAATGTGGTAGAAAAAAATTAAAAGGTGAAATTAAAATTTATTATTTTAATTCTACACTATTATAATCATATTTATTTATTTTCGCAAGGGTGGATTGAGCATAAACAATTGAGAAAATTTCTAATGGACTTACTGTGATTAGTGAGTTTGACTCAATTTTGAATAAAAAAATCACTACCATATTAGTAAATAGAAATAAATTTCTATGGAATGTATTTGAAATATATATAAACCAAACAAATAAAATACTTCGTATGTATATATTTTGCTATATGTTCTATATAAGCCTTAATAAGAATAAAGTATCTTAAATAATATATATATCATTTTAATAAAAACTCCTTTAAAAATATCAATCTGCCCCTGCTTATTAGATTTACTAAAAACAATAGGTTGAATTATTTTATTTATACATGATATAAATCATTTTTTATAACATATTTTTAATGTTTTATATATATATAATTAATTTATATAGGTGATGTTTGAAGTAGAACATAAACTTAAGCGATTTATAAAAGGTGATATTGCCTTGGATGATATTAGTTTAAACAGTGGAGCCTGTTCATTCACTTCAGGTAAATTTTAAGATTTTAAAATTTTATAGAATTTAATAATTTACCTTTAATGATAATTATAATAACTTTATAATTTATCTAGTTTATAATTAAAAAATTGTAATTTAAATTATTTATAACTACTGCTAGATCAACACATAATTTACAAAAGACCTGTGGGCATTACTCATTAAAAACTCATGCATTCTTGCAAAATAGATTCTTACTTTTTAAGTATATAAAAGCCTTAAGACAAAATAGCAAAATAGTTATTATAAATAAGTTATTTTATAGATGAAGGAAAAAGTCTGGCCTTTATGGATTCTTTTTATCCTTAAGCCCTATTCATTTGTTTAGTTTGTATAATTGTAAATTCAGCTCTGATTATAATTTATGTATGCATTTAACCCTGGAGTGAATGTGCTGTGTTTTCATGCATAAGCAGGTATATCGAGCATTAACTGTGCTAAGTTTTAATGCATTTGTGTTGTATTAATTGTTATTGGGCTGCAATTTGAAAAAAATTATAGACAAATTTTCACTGTTGTCCGTCTATCCATCTGTCTTTCCTTAATCTTGAGAACAGAGTTGGATAAATGAAATTAAAGACCATATATGGAAAGCTCAAGTGCAGAAGGCCCCAATTAACTATATGTAAACTCGTGATACACACCGGAAGTCACGTTATTTCAATTCAAAAATTTTCCCCAGAAAGCAGTTAATAGATAACACACTAAAAATTAAAAAAAATAAAATTTATTTTTAGTGTGTTAATAGTTATACCGATCCCATTGGTTTTAATAATTGAATTGATAATTGAAGTTAATAGATGACCAGCATGACTCTATTGTTAAAAGAAAAGTATGATAAACAGGGGCAAGACACTACTAATTTGAGGAGGCGAGCATATATTTTAAATTAAATAAATTAAAAATATGATTAAAAATTACAGCTTGGCATTGTGACGATACCACAATAAATAATTGCTCATTTAACTACAGTTTATCTAACAAACAATTTAAGTTTTCTTTTTATTTAAATATAGTGCAAAGTTTTCTTTATTTTCCAGACAGTTGATTAATGTATTATTTATAAAGCTATTTTTTAGTCGTAATGCTGAGGTTTTCATTCAAATTGTAAAAATATTTATCTTCATTGCCATTTAAGGAAACCACTATCATCAAGGTAGTTTATATTCAGATTAATTTACTTTGCTATATTAAAATAAGTCTATTATATTTTACTTAATTTATAAATTATCTGGCCTTTTTGGTTGAAAGTAAAGAACATTATAATTATCAGTTAATCAATGCATTTTTAATCCTGTTTATATTAGACAAACAGTAGAACTCAGTTAAGAAATTTTTCAAGAATCCAATTTAAGAAAACTTCTTAAGCATAAGTGAAAATAATATAACTTTTCACTCAACAATTCGGCTTATACAGTGTCTATTTATTTAAATATTTGTCTAATGTAGCCTGCTTTATCCATTTTGTTATGTACAACAAAAATGTGTACAGTATTATGATTCCACAAACAAAACCACAGATTTGTCAGACTTACAGTATAACTAAGGTGACCATATATCCTTTATTTAAGAAGACAATACTTTATTTTATTGCTCGGTCCTTTAGAATTATTTGTTTTTTCTAAAATGGCCATTTTGGCCTTTATTTTGTGAATTGAAATAGTAAATTGAATATTGGCATCTGCACATGACATAAATATTCAATTTACCAAATTTATTTTATGGAATTTATAAATTTACCCAAACCAGCATTGATTATTTAAATAGCTGAGCCAACTCTTTCATGGAAATAAAAGTATTTGAATGGATCCTACTATGAGAAATTTCTCTGTGGGTGGGAAAGATTGAGGAAAACATTCTGTTCATTTCCAATCATTGGAACTTAAATATAGATAATGGCATACTATTTCACAAAGTTTCGTGTATTAAAGGTTATGTCACCAGTAAAAAGATCTAAGAATGTCGACAAAACAACAAATCCTGCCAATGTAGATGGGTTAAAATTTTTAAAAAGTTTACAGATAAACATATCTTTTAAAACTATTTAAAAAATCATTGAATTTATTTTTTTATTTCCCTAGATCTAATGCTTTCATTGAGTGAGTACTTTTATTAGTGAACAATATGTGGACCAGTGAAAAAACCCAACTAAACATCAAAATATTGGAAGCAAGCATTTATTTCAAATGCAACTTTGACATGAATTTTTAAAACATAAACCTGATTTATTAAAAAGTTCATTCTTGTGAAAAGTATCAAAAGTAAAATCATTAAAAATAATAGTATGGTATATTTAAAATGCTATGTATATACTTATATTTTATAATAAATGTTATGAAGATTTTTAGTTTTCGTGAAACAATAAATAAATGCAACCTGCTTTCTTTTTATTATAAAACAATTTCTGATTTGTTTTTTATTTTCTCCAAAAAAATATGGTCACTATAAGTATAACTTATGTATTAATGCTGCTATTCAGAACTTACTGTTTGTTGCAGATAACTGTTTAAGAAAATTGCATAATCCATGTTCAAAGTAACCCAAAATCACAAGCAAAATGACCCAAAATTTTGTGCATTTTCTAATGTAATGTATTTTGATTTGTTTGATTTTGATTGCAATTAAATGTGTAAAATTTTTGATAGGATGCAGTTGAAAAACTTAAGCAAATAAGAAATCGTGGACAACGATTTCTGTCTACTTAAGNATGTCACCAGTAAAAAGATCTAAGAATGTCGACAAAACAACAAATCCTGCCAATGTAGATGGGTTAAAATTTTTAAAAAGTTTACAGATAAACATCTTTTAAAAGTATTTAAAAAATCATTGAATTTTTTTTTTGTTTCCTTAAATCTAATGCTTTCATTGAGTGAGTATTTTTATTAGTGAACAATGTGTGGACCAGTGAAAAAACCCAATTAAACATCAAAACATTGGAAGCAAGCATTTATTTCAAATGCAACTTTGACATGAATTTTTAAAACGTAAACCTGATTTATTAAAAAGTTCATTCTTGTAAAAAGTATCAAAAGAAAATCTTCAAAAATAATAGTATGGTATGTTTAAAATGCTATGTATATACTTATATTTTATAATAAATGTTATAAAGATTTTTAGTTTTCGTGAAACAATAAATAAATGCAACCTGCTTTCTTTTTATTATAAAACAATTTCTGATTTGTTTTTTATTTTCTCCAAAAAATATGGTCACTATAAGTATAACTTATGTATTAATGCTGCTATTCAGAACTTACTGTTTGTTGCAGATAACTGTTTAAGAAAATTGCATAATCCATGTTCAAAGTAACCCAAAATCACAAGCAAAATGACCCAAAATTTTGTGCATTTTCTAATGTAATGTATTTTGATTTGTTTGATTTTGATTGCAATTAAATGTGTAAAATTTTTGATAGGATGCAGTTGAAAAACTTAAGCAAATAAGAAATCGTGGACAACGATTTCTGTCTACTTAAGTGGGAAATTTTCTTAAAGAGGAGCATTATATATGGGGAAAACTCACACATCTGTAATGTAGAAAAAAATTGGAATTTTTGAAATTAAACTTCTTACATGGAAAAATTACTAATAAGGAAACTTCTGAACTAGTAAATAAGTTTTACTGTATTTGTATAAAAAGAAAAGCAAAAGTATGATTACAAAAAACTACATCTGACATAAATTAAATCAAATTTCTTAAATTATGACAATAGCATTTGATTACCCTAATTTTGACTACCCTACCTTTTAATGTTTATTTCTTAAATTTCTTGTTTAGATATACTTACAGTTTATATGTTGTAACGAATATATAAATAAATATTGCAATGTATAAACCGTATGTTTATTTTGAATGTTAAAATAATATATAAGTATTATTAATTAATAATAAAGTTGTAGTTATTGAATTATAAAATATAATTTAATTTTATAGCACAAGAGGATGAGATATGTACCTTTGATAACAAAAATGATTGTGGATATAAATTTGTTAATGATAAATATTTTCAATGGAGTCTTATTCAAGCTGGGGTTGATCGATTAGTTTATCCAAGGACAGATCATTCGCTTGGAACTAATAAAGGTAATAGTATAAGAAATTACAAGTTTAATTTAATATTAACCAGTCAACAATATTATTGACATAACAGACATATAGATATGAAAGAATTTTATTAATTTATATTTGATTGCCCTCTTTCATTTATCTATATAATATGTATATGTTAAGTTTGTATTAATTAGTAAGGAATTCTTTTGTTATGTTTAAGTAAAAGTTTTATATAAGCAGAAACAAGTTTAGTATAATAACTGTACAATGTCACTTAAATGTATATATAATGACAAACTTTTGATTCTTAATGTTAATATAATAATGATATGAATGAGGAAAGAAACTATTTTTAAATAATGAAAACTGGTTACATAAAATACTTTCTTTAGTTCTCTATTGTTTATTTATTCTTAAATTTAATCTCCTAAAGTTGAAAATAATAATTTCCGAATGCATTTAAGATAAAAATTTTCTCATTTCTATTTTCTGAACTTTTTACTTATAATTGTATGAATTACAGAATCTTTTTGAAAGTACAGTAATACCTCGACTTACGCTATTCCGATTTACGCTAACTTAGAGTTACACAATTTTCAAATCTCGTCGAATCGTCTTTTGTTTGAGCGCCACTCAACTCTTGATTACTCACTACTACGGTTTCTCATTTCTCGGGAAATTTGTCTCCAGCGGGATTACGGGAAAAATAATTTCTTTTCCCGGGATCCCGGGATGAGATAGTAAAATAGAATTTTATATGAATAAAAAAGATCATACATGAATATCATAAATTTGAATAATTTAATTTATTTTCTAGTAAGTAACTAAAAGTGTAGGGCCAATTTAACCAAACGGACACGTTAGGCTCAATTAATTTATGTTCTCCTACATTATATGATGAAAGTAAAATAAAGCGTTTCATTGGGAGTTTTAATGATTACGAAAAAAATACTATTTTACTTCTAAAGATGAAATAAAAAATAAACTAAAGTGCGATGAGTGATATTTACTTTCAGCAAGTCTCCCTGTTCAATGATGCGCAAACACAATATATAGATATTACATGAACTAACAAGTAGAGACTTGTAAAACATAGGTAATAATATGCAGCAAGAAACCTCAAAATTTCTCTCTTAGGTGAGTCTTCAAGATGCAACTTTTCGTATAATAAATACTAGAAAAAAACCTGACATGGTAAATTATTATTGAAATGCGAGATTTCCCGGGAAAATANTTTGTGCCATCCTCGTGTATATTGTCGGTCTCTGCCGTAAAAAATTTTTTTTTTGTTTTCTTTTGCTTATAATTATCTTTGTGTATATATACATATTTTGCCAATGTAATTAATGTAAACAATTGTCGTGATTGCTGTATGCGCAGTTTTATTTGTGTTTTGGGTGGTTTTTGTGTGGCAGCATGGTGTTGGTGGTGATGTTATGTATAGTGGGGAACCGGAAACCAGGCATTCTGGTTCCTGGCGTTCAGGTGTGAAGGTGTGTCCTTCGATTTGTCTTGTGTAGACTCTGTGTAAGCTGCCACGTGCCAGGCCTAAGCTGACCTCTCGTATTGTGATCTGATATAAATATATTTTTGGTACATAAAATTTGTTTAATACTATATCGTACTCGTCCCCTCCTTTCTTTCGTGGCAATCATTTTCATTCACCCCTGCAAATATCTGAGGGATGATATTCGCAGGGGTGAATGATCCGCTTTAGTTCATCCTCACAGTTTGCTTTTCTTTGAAAATGAACTAAAGCGGATCATCTTCTATCTATCTATTTAAATAAAAATGTAATGTTCATTTGTTGCTACTGATTCCTTTGAAATTTTGACACAATGCTGCATTCGAATATGCACATGTTTTTATATAATATACGTGTCGAAATTCCCCCCACTGGGGGAAGATGGACAGGATTATGGCTTACTGTAAAGAACTCTGCTTCTATTTATACTACTTTAGATGCGGTTTTTATTGTGTTTTAATAGGGTACGTCAAGAGAATGTACACTAAGAAGGAATTTTTTGAAAAATTCCCCCCACGGGGGAAGTGTTATATAGTAATACCTCGACTTACGCGAACCCAGAGTTACGCGATTTTCAAATCTCGTCGATTCGTCTTTTGTTTGAGTTCCACTCAACTCTTGATTACTCACTTCTCCCACACTATTGTTCAGCTTACATGTTCGGACGTGTCGCGCGGAATCGATGCATAGCTACAATTTATTTTGTGTTGTTTATTTCTGTGTATTTTATATCTATGGAGACTTGAGAGACTCTATGTAGTGATTTCTTGTAACCATGAATAAATCAAAAGACGAGATAAGATTAACGAGAACATTTATTAGCTTACATACATCCAACTTGGATTTTACACAAATTGCGAAATTATACCCCAACTTACGTGAATTCGACTTACGCGGTTATCGCTCTGTCTCACCTATCGCGTAAGTTCAGGTTATTACTGTATATAAAGAAATATTAAATTTAAAAAATCATATTGGAAAAACAATATCTATAAGTTTTACATTTTTTTATACTGCTTTAATATCCTTTATACTGTATTATATTAAATACTTTTCTATCTGGCTTAAGTTCAAAACCTTACATTTAATTAGAGTTATAATTATGTACTTGATTTAAACTTGAACATTTGTTATTAAAATAAATTAAAAAGTGAATAGAAAACAAATAAAAACAAAAATAAAATCAAGATATATAGCTCTGTACATTATTGCAATATTTGTTTAAACTTTATAAAAACACATACTAAACATTACCGAAGACGAATAGTATGTTATATAATCAAAGAACATCCAATTGCTTGTATTAATAGTAATAATGGAAAAAGATGCCAATAACAATTTAATATTTATCTTGTATACTAGTACTTTATCAATTAACAGGACTTATTATACTTGATAGTAGTATAATAAATCCTATTAATTGATAAAGTATACAAGATAAATATTAAATTAAGATAAAGGACACAAAGGCATAATAATTAAATAATGCCAATAACAAGTTTAATTGACAAATGTTATTTTGTTCAAAATTAAAATTCAACTTTCACTAAAACAGACCAAAAATAAATTTGCATCAAATAAATTAAAATACAGTCGACCCCCTATAATGCAGTAGATACGTTCCACTTTATAAGAATTTCACGTTGTAGGAATCCTTAAATACATAGCCAATCACAGCCCGGCACGTGTGCAGTTTAGGGACTACGGCTGTTTGAAAGGTTTTCTTCCATAAAATTAATCGATTCTAGACTAATTTGACTCAGTATTTTCAAAAAACACATAATTTTTTGGGAATAATCCATATAAACTATGCTATAAACAAAAAATTGTAGGATTACTTACTGAGTGTGCACCGTTCGACGATGCCATTGCTTAAGCTTGTTTTCGCAGAGCAGCTCACCAAACAGCGGGCGCGTTTTCTGATAAGTTGTTTTTCTGCTAAAAATTTGCTGAACTTTCGAGACATCATTAATAGAAATCATTTTTATGGCCATTGAATAAGAAATGTTTTTTTCACAAGAAATGTATAAAATTACAATACTGTATTAGACTTACAGTATCTAATCTATATACTGTACAGACAATAGTAAACTCAACTTACCCACCTAAACTCTCCATAGCATGTAAGTAGTTCGGCTGCTCGTCCACTATCTGTCCAGTTTTGACCAATCCTGTTGCGACACAAGTCGGCAATGACATTTTACCGCATTTTACGAGTCTCTTTTAGTGTCTTTATACGAATACAGTCGTAATTTTTTTGCTGTGATATACGAATCCACATTATATAAACCCGCATTATAGTGGGTCTACTATATATTAAAACTATGATCAGTATCTGATTTGTTATCTAACATTTAACATAGCAATTCATTATATAACTGTCCTTTTTCAAGAAATTTCTCTCTTTTACGCTAAGTAATTTATTATAGATTGTATTTAAAAATATGTTTAAATTATTATTTATTCTGTTTCTTATACTAACAACACTTGCAGGAACTTTGTACGAAATGTTTTTGAAACAAAATAGATTTCTTTCTTAAAAAAAACTCACTTGTGAAATTTTTAAAAATATTTTCTTTTCTATATATTGTATTAGTCTTAATCATCTTTGCCAGCAATAATCAAACTTTTAGTTTAACTTCTTTTAGATAAAGTAAAATGAATTAAATCTGTTAAATAATTAATCTGTTTTCTTAATTGTTAAATAATTAAGTTAAATAATTAGAAATCTGTTTATTAAAAAGCAATTATTTTCATTTTTATGATAAAAGTTATTTTGCATTCATTTAATTAAAATGGAACATTTTAAGATTTTAAAAGTTATTTTTTTAATCTCTGATAACAAAATAAATAAACTTGAGATTTTATAAATATGAATTTTTTTTTAATAGGATGGTATTGGATTCTCTCAACAAAAAGGGGTGGAAAAATAAATAAGAATGCAACACTTACAAGTCCTTGGTTTACAAGATCAAACTCAGAGAAAAAAAGATGTATTCAGTTCTATTATTCTGTATATTTAGTGTCAGATGTTGTCCTCAATGTTAGTTTTATAAATGATAAAGAAGGTAAGATAATATTTATTTATTAAATTTAATTTATATTTGAAGTATGGAATATGTATAAGACAAGGTGTTAAAACAAAAATGTTTGATAGATTCAAGAATTTTAAAAATTAAACATATTTTGTTATTTGGTGTAAGATATAGAAAATATAAAAATGGCCGGAACGGTTGGAAGAAATAATCTGTTTTACAGAGTGATGTCATATGTTTTTCTCCAGCCAGTTATAATTTTAGGCAGATAACCTACAGATTATCTGTGTTTAGCAATTTAAAAAAGATGTAGATTATATATAAATTTTAAATTACAATTACAAACACATTAAGCAGCTTTTGTTTTGTCTAAAATCACTAATCTAAGAGTGTTTTTAGAAAATGCGAAAGATATCTGGTGTCCTCTGGTGATACTTCAAATAAACTGTTTTTTAGAAATGGTAATGTCATCAGATGACATTTTAACTAATTTGCATATTGCAGAGGCATAGCCTCCATAAAAAGGTCATCTCTGTAGATCTGTAGACGAAGATTGTGTATTGCTGGTGATTATGAAGACGGATGTTAGAAGACTTTTTGTATTTTCTATATTTTTTGTATTTTATTAAATGTAAATACGAACTTCAAATAAATTATTAAGCTTCAATAGCTTGATAAAGGAATCCAGCTTGTTATTTGGTATTTGAAGTAATTATTGGGTTTGTTGTATTTATTATAAACTTTATTTTTCTTTTATTTTTAAACAAGTAACACGGCAAGGCCATTTTTGGGACGAGACTATGTCTCGGAGACTGACTGCTAAGCGAGATCACTTTGATGCTCACAGCAGGTCTCGTTCTAATTCTCCAATCTTCCTTGGTATCTCTGGTTTTGAGTGTGATTGTTCAAACTTTGCCGACCTTGGCCACGACCACAACCACAAGGTCATCTATGATGCATTTTCGGTGAAATTAACTTATCCAATATCGAAATTTCTCTCCGTTGCGTGTTGTCCCACATTGAATTTTTGTTGATGGCTAACGAAAATTTCCCATTTGTAAAAAAAATAATTGTGGCTATTGTATTGTCCAAAATTATTTTTTTATTTTGCACAAACAAAATAAATATATTAATAAGTGTAAAAAAACAAAAAGAAATTATTTTTTGGAAGTTAGTTTTAATATAAAATTATAACGACTAGCATTGTCTAGTTTCAAAAATGTTCTGATGCTGAAACAAGATATCTCAGGTCAACCGGTCAAGGTCAACAGGTGCGACCATAGATATCTTGGGAATAGCACAGGAAAGGTAAATGGGTTTTTTCAAAGATTTGTTTGTCAAAATTCAGTTTTGCAACATTGACATTTCCAACTTCCCAACAAGCAACACATGCACAAATCTTACACTCTCACCTGTTTGTAGAAAGTTGTTGCCATTTTGTATTTTATTTTGACTTGGGTCTCAGTCCCGTGAGTATCTACAAGGTTTTTTTATGTGCACATGATTTGGGCACCAAATACTCTGCGCCAAATATCAGCTCCTGACATGTACTCCTTCATACCTCTAAGGTGTGAAGCCGTAATGGCACCTCAATTTTATACAAAAAGACATAGTCTTGTCAATAACAAAATATATAATATTAGTGTAATAATTGTTAACATAAAAAAATCAAATAAAAAATAATTTTAATGTCTTAATTTTAGTTTAGTTAAAACAGAAAGCTAATTGCTGGTGAAAGTTGGAAAGTGGAGTGAATATTATGTTAGTAATAACATTCCTTTTGATTGAATTTTTCTGTTTTGCAATAGCATTTTAACAATTCATCAAAAACAATGAATTTCTGGACATAAGAAAGAGAGAAATTTAGATATGGTAGCTAAGAAGAATATGCTTTCTAATTATATTTTTTATTATTATTACAATTAATTTTAAAATTTTCTTTTTGATAAATAAACTTAAATGAAAAAAATAAGTTAGTAATACAGTAGAGTGTCGTTTATCCGAATCAATTGGGGACTGGGGTTGTTCGGATAACTTATTATTCGGATAACCAATTATGTACGAAAAAATATATTAATTTATCCCATGTTGAAATTTTTCTCCATTGCGTGTCGCTTCGCATTGAATTTTCGTCGATGTTAAGCATAACGAAGACTATTGTATCGTTAAAAATTATTTTTTTACTTTGTACAAACAAAATAAATATATTGAAAAATATAAAAACAATAAAAAAATTATACTTCAGAAGTTAATTTAGTATCAAAAACATAAAATATTTGAGTAGCTGAAGACATAGCCAAAGATTACAGCACCACAGCACTGGCGAAAATTTAAATTTGTCGACTGAAATTCCTTCGGATAACCGACCTTTGGATAAATGACGCTCTACTGTAATAATCTTTTGTTACTGGTCATCATCTTGTTTTAATGACATTTGCTGTCATTCACAAGTGATTGATTAGTCTGCTAAATGGCAGTAGAAATCAAATTCACTATGCAAAAAATAAATCATTTTGTTACTTTGCTTTTCCTTTTACTAGTAAATATATTTCTAAACTAATCTTAGATTTCTTAGCCAATAATATGAACCAAGTGATGACTGTCGGGTAGTTTATTTCAACATTTATTATTATATTATTATTTTTTGATGAATAAAGCAAATGAAGTGATATCAAAATAAATTTTCTTATTCAATAGGCATTTGTATCTTCCAGGGCTGTGGAGTCGCGTAAAAATCTACCGACTCCGACTCCGACTTTACCTTACCATCCGACTCTGTTTCATATACATAACAAGTTGGTAAGTAAACGGGAGTCAGAGTCGGCGGATTTTTTGACGATTCCAACTCCACGGCCCTGGTATCTCCACATATGAAATTTAGGAGGTTTCCTCTTAGTATTTCTTTTTTTCAATTTTACTTAGTTTGCAATTTTATCCAAAATAAAATGTAAAAACAATGTTGTAATGTTTAAAATGGAAGTGTTGTGCTTTTAATAGCTGTTCAAGAGCTCAGTTTATATGGTGGAGAGGGTTATATAAATTTATTTGTCCATTTTGTTCTATATTTAGTGTTCTATTTTTAGTAACTGATGATGATCGTTGAAAAACGATTGAAAACGTTTTTATTTTATTAAATGTTGCTGGATTTATATCGGTGTAGTTTATTTTTCAACTTATTCTACTTCCAGTACGTATTGATTATATATCTATCAGTTTTCTGTAGCATTTATGTCATCACAGGTTATATAGTGTTGTGGATTATCTGAAAAAAATTATTATGTTTTAAAAAGAAGTAATGCAATTATTGTGAATCTTTTGCCAATATATAGTAAGCATTGGTGCCACGTCATCCTCTCCTTCCCCTTTAAGTTGTGGGATTGAGACTATCTCCACTTCTAATGTTTGTTTTGAGAAGCTTGTTTGGTGTTTTAGAATGAGAGCTGAAATTATATATATATTTTTTTATTCTATACAATTTTGTAATCAACTTGATGGCATATTACAGGCAAGAGAAAGTTTCTACTTCCAAAACTTAAGTTAAAAGTCAAATATGGCAATATGGCACCATCATTTAGCACATACTTAGTATGTATTGTTAAAAAGGTCGTAGTAGTTGTACTATTTATTTTTGAAATGATTAGCTGCAGAAAAAATGTTTCCATCATCTTACAGATTAATAATTTTTATTTAGTTTAGTATTGATTTTTTGATAGTAACAAAAGTAAAATAAATTATTTGTATCTTGACAGATAAAAATCAAGTTCTAAAAGATCAATATCAATCATTAAATTATCTGTATAATATAAAAAAGCCTTCATAAATTTAAATTACAAACAAAATATGTTTTAATGGAGTTTTAAAATCACACAAATAGAAACTGTCATCTGGAACTGTATAAATAAATATATTTTTGATTTAATGTTTTTGTGAGATCCAGGGGTTGATGAAAAGGCAGTGAACCCCACTCTGTAGACATCAAATGTGAGATGTGAAAGGAGCTATGGGGAAATGGAAAACACCCAAACTCCTGACACCAAATGTGAGATCGGGGATGGTAAGATTCCACTCGCAGATTCAGGATGTATAAGATTTAAGTAAAAGACTGGAAGATTAAGATGGAGGGTCCTGACACCAGTAAGGAATATTCAGTGATTGCGTCCTAACTCATGAATAATTGATTCTATTTTAGTTTAGTCCGAGTGGTTTAAAACTATATTAGAAAGTATATGCTTTTATGTGGGGAGGTAAATGGAAGTAGGCTGTAGATGCATTATAGTAAATCAAATATATTTATTTATACATAAATGAAAGGAATAAATTACAATGATAAATAAATAATAAAACAATGGGATCGGTATATTCAAATATTAAAATTAATAAATTCTAAAAATTTTTTCTTTAAAAAAAACTCTTAAGAACCACAAGTGAATTTTACTTTTTTAATTCCGACTTCGATAGAGTTTTAAAAAACAACAGAGAAAGACCAGGAAATTACTTTCACTATTTCTTGCTTTATTTTATCCATATATATTTCGCTTGTCAGCCTCATCAGTGGATATTACACTGTTACTTTGCCAGTACTTTTATAACCCATCAAGCTATCCCAGCATGCATCAACACATGCGCCGGTATTTAAATTTATACAATTTACATGTCCTTTAATACAATAATGTTCTATAATGCGTCTTTTTACAAGATTTTTTACTTTATACAATATTTTAATATTATTTCGGTCAATAATACAATTTGTTATACTGCAGTGTTGTTGCCACGGGGATTCTGTTCTGTTTAGTCAAATTGCCGCCTCATGCTCTTTCAGCATCACTTCCAGTTTTCTTCCTGTTTCTCCAATATAGCATTTCCGTTCTGTACATGTACACATCAATTCATATACGACTTCTGCCACTTCTAAAGGATTCTTCGATTGTTTTTCATTTGCTTTATTAATCAAACAAATACTTTTGTTTAATTTATTTCTTTGTTCACCTACCAAGTTGACAAAGTTGACAATAATAAATTACAATTAAAATAATATTCAAATGATTAATATAATAACCTGATAATTGAACAATTAACAATACAATGATTTAAATATACAACTATCCAAACAATTTCAAATTGAATTACAAATATCTTTATGAGCAAGAGAGTGCTTACATAATAAAATCATATCCTTTACCAGTACCCATATGGATATGATGAGAGAACCTTTAACATTTGGGAGAAGGTGAGTAAAGTTCACTTGACATATAACTTAGTACTCAATGAAGGCACCAAATATATATCACGAACTTTATCTAATCTTGAGGGTAACTAGTAGGCTAGTAGCATGTTGAACTATGACTAAAAGCATTTGTCCAAGGTGATCTTCACCTTATATATGAAATTGGTGGATCAATGAAAATGTCCTCAGTTTCTTTCCTTCACTCTGTTACTAAGGAAACTATGAAGTGTAACTTTCATTTCTAAAAGAACTATTTCATTCTCTCTTTACTCAGAGGAAATTGAAGATGAAAAATATTGATAAACATTTCCATCATTTCAAAATGAAATAATATTAATTTTAAAATACATTTAAATACTTTGAATGTTCTCTAAATTAACTCCCAATTCTCACAGTTTGGTTAGGTTACAGTTTGAAGAAATTGTAGACCTATAAATTCTCACTATCGTCTGTCTGCCTTTCTTTTCTTATTCTCAATAACAGAGTTAGGTTGATGAAAGTTGAGACCAGATGGAAAGCTTAGGGGCAGGAGACCCTGATTAACTATATATAGTCAACCCCCCTATAACACTGTTGATAATTCCTTGTTATATGAATTCCATGTTGTACGGGTCACTTAGATTTTACAAATACATGAGCCGTTCACAGCCCAGCATACATATTTGTAAAATCTAAGTGACTCGTACAACATGGAATTCATATAACACGGAATTATCAACAGTGTTATAGGGCAGGGGTCGGAATTAGCGGCTCGCGAGCCGCATGCGGCTCTTTGCATAGATGTTTGCGGCTCTTCGGACATAAACTCCAATTTCATCTCACCTCATTTCACCGCAGCCTTATAACTTATGAGTTTATGAGATAGAGCCGCTGAACAAACTTCGACTTGTTCTCCGTCCGCACATGACCACACTCGCGTTGATCAATATGAGTCGCATAAGAGTGGTAGCATTTGAAGCATATCTATATATTCCATTGAACGCGTGTCCGTCCATCCATGTAACGTTATGCCGAAAATGGCCACTAGAGGCGCCTCTGTCGTGTGTCGTATTTCGCACATTTAAATTAATATGCGGCTCTCTGGTACTTTTGTTATCCTGTTTTCATGACAATTTGGCTCTTCTCACTTGACAAACTGCCGACCCCTGTTATAGGGGGATCAACTGTACAAACTTTTGGTTTGTACTGAAAGTAATATTATCTCAATTCAAAAATTTTCCCCTGAAAGGAATTAGTTAGATGACTTAATTGTTAACAGAAAAAGTATGATGTACAAGGGCAAGATAATACTAATTTGACGTAGAGAGCATATATTTTAAATAAAATAAATTAAAAGTATGATTAAAAATTTTAAATTTAAATTTTAAAAGTTAATAGGGTAAGTCTTTTCTAAAACATCGTCAATGCTATAGTATGACAGTCTACAAATGATGATGTTTATAAGTAAATAGAGGGTAAAAAGTAAGCATTTTATTGACTTCAGACATAAAAGGAGATTAAAATAAGAGAGTTTATTTTAATTTAATATTAATTTGTATTTTATTTTGTTTATGTAAAATATTTATATGTAAAATTTTTCAATTATTAACTTAAACTATCGTTTGTTTCTATGATGATATAATCATTTATAACAAACTACTACAATACTTGAATTCAGCTCAAAACTTCCTGAAGATAGATGAAAATCTGAATTATTAGAATTTGAATTGGAATTATTTTCGTTTAGTCTGCTTTTAATGATTATTAATTAAAGCATACTTTGCTTATTATTCACATAATATTAATAAAATATTTATAATAGTTGATTATATGATATTTTATTAATTTATCTACTGTTATTCATAAAGGTTGTTTTTTATTACTTTCAGAAAGATTAGTTATGTCAAAAGAGGCATTTGTAAAAGAAAAGTGGACATACGCTGAAGCTGAATTTGATCCTAGCATGAGATATATGGTATTTATTATTTATGTTTCTTAATAAAATAAAATTTTTTTTTAGGTATCAAACTATTTATTAAATACTTATTCAGTAAATAGTTGTTTGATTATCTGAAGAAAAAATTGATTTTATTTTGTTTTATTGACTGAACATAGTAAATGATGGCACCAAGATTTATACAATTTGATGCAATTTTTTTATATATATACAATATTATACAGTTGATACTGTCTATCTTGAATCTCACAAAAAGAAGAAAAAAATTTGAGATAGACAGGTTTCAAGATACAGACATTCACACAGTAAACAGTAATAAGTGTAATTGGAGATAAGGTATTTTATTAATACAATAGCAAGTACAGTACATACCTATATTAGGTATAAATAAAACTTTTTTGACATACCTTAACAGAAGTACAAACATGTCTATAACAGAATCACACGAAACCGAGCAATTCTTTTATATGAGACAGGTTTCCGCTATATAGGTTTCCTAATAACGGAATCTCTTGTTTAACACAATTAATTAATCCCTTGATGTTACTGTGTATATCAAAATTGCATTAATCAAATACAGCATTATCTCAGTACTTCATCAAACAATCACTACCCACTAGAAAAAGTTTTCGGTTAATAACAAATATTTTCATCTTAACTTTAATTTTGTCATCAGAAAAAGTTTTCTGTGATAATAATGAGTAACTAATTTAAAAACAAAATGAAACCTTAGAGCTGTCTACCTTTATCAGACGAAATTATACTCAATCCAGTTAATTTTTTTCACTTAATGCATGTGGAACACAACCATCATAATGTTTTATAACCATTTCAAGTAGATGAAGTGTTTAAACAATACACGTCTTTGACACACTAAGATTAGTTGCAATTTCACAAGTTGTTATTTGAATAAACACACACAACAAACTATACCAGCAAGTAGTAAGTATTCCTTTATTTGTTGTTGTTATCGAAACCGTGTTGTTGTTTATGTATTGTATTTATTAAACGGTCACTTCATTGTGCCAGTATACAATTCCTTTATTTATTAATTTCATATTTGTTGGTATTAGTTTATTGTGTGCGTTTGAGTTATTATTTCTCTAGTTTGAACAGTTTCTACCAGCAATTTTTCATCATCAACAATTTTTGAGTATCCCACACATTTTGTATCTTTTAGTTCAAAATTTCCTGAATGAAACTTTCAAAATTACTTTAAGTTATTATAATTATTAAAATTAACATAAGATGGCAGCTGAATTCCTTACCTCTAGACAAATTAATTAATATCTAATTATTAAATTAATACTCTGATAATTTGGCAGATTGCCTGGTTGTGATTGATTAAAAAGTTGGGTTACATAGTTGTTGTTTATGTATAAGTTGATAAGCATAAAAACATGAATTTTTTGTTTACTATTAATTTAAATAATACAAAGAACTTTATTAACTTGTTTATTTTTAAATAATTTTAACATTTATATGTAAAGTTTTGACAATATAAAAATTTTTAAATTTGAGGTGGAATTTCAAGGCAGTTTTGGTGATTCTTTAAATTCTATAGCAATTGATGATGTAAAAGTTAAAACTGGAAGTTGTCCTGAATCAGGTTTGTATATAATTTTCTATTTTATAGTTAATTTTAATAAATCAAGTGTAAAATTTGAAAAATTCATTTATTAATTATTTAAGGATAAATTTCCAGTTTAATTCTCTGTAAATATTTTATTTCAAAACATTTATATACATTTTTTATTGAACTACTGGCCAAGAATTAGCCTGTACTTTAGGTAATAATTTTATGAATATCACAAAATTATATTTTTAATCAATAACTCTTTGAAGAGTATGTATTAGAAGTTAGATGCTGCCACTTTTTCAAATTTTTTAATTGTTTTAATACTTGTTATAAAATAAATATAAAGTGAATACTTTCAAAGATGAATGATGTAAAAATGAAAAACAAAAGAATCAGAAAAAGTATTGAGCATATTTCTGGTATAAAGCTGCTACCACCGAAAATAATAAATAATATTTAATAAATTTTAAATAATATATGTAAGGGTGTAGTTAATCCTCCAAAACCGGAAGTGGTTAAGACAATAAGGCAGGCGTGGAACAAAAGAAGGTCAAAACAGAAGCTTCTAGAAGGTCAAGAGAGAAGGACCACATGCAAACGATGGATATTGAAAGACGTGCCAAAGAGACTTTACAAGTTGACAGGATGAAACCAAAGAAAAGGATTACCTACAGAGACGACGAACCCTATGCAGAACAAATGAGTAGAAGAGAAAAGGATATACAATCCCCGAAAAGTAAGCCAAAAATTCAAACATTTCTGAGAAATAGCAACACAATTAATGCAGAGAATTGGGTGAGGAGATTTGAAACGGTGGCAGAATACATGGGATGGAGAAAAAGGACAAAATAATGTTAATGGGAGATTACCTAGAAGATGAAGCCCTAAATTGGTACATCGAACACACGGACAATCAGAGTTGGGGAGATTTAAAACAAACTTTTGTGGGGAGATTTGTATTACAAACACCAAGCCCATCGTGGGTTTCATAAGGTTAAAATATGACCCAAATATAGGAATGAAAAATTATTTTGAATAAAAAAAAAGTTTAGGGAAGTTAGCGCAGTTGAAAGACTTCCAGATAATATCGCTAATGATAGAAGGATTACCCCAGAAAATGGCGGAATATTTTGTAACTATAAGACCAAAAACTTTTGTAGAATTTTATGAAATAAGCCTAAGAATCGAAGAAAATTTAAAACAAAAATGAATCAATAAATCCACAAGGAGTAAGGTAAAAGTTACCAGGAGTAATTTTGGTTACAGGATGGAAGAATTTCGGAACACAAAAGAAAGCCAAAGACTTGTAAGATTTGTGAGAGTTTGGGATACCAAAATAGGTTCCATTGGGCTCGAGACTGTTGGAATAAGCGAAAACCGCTTGAACGAAAGGGGAAAGTAAATCTCGCTGAGGTCGAAAACAACAAAGTACGAAGCAAAAGTAAAAAAGTGGAGACAAATCACGAGGAAACGAATCATAAAATAAAGGGACAAATGAGGAACGTGTTCAGGAAAATGAACTAAATGAAATCAAAATTGAGGACACAATACAAAATAGCCAATTCCCTAAAGTATTAATGAAAGAAACAATAACGATACAAATAAAAATGGTTCTCAATATGAAAAAGGAACGAAAATGAACAATATTCAAAATTTAAATGGGTTAAGAGACAGAAATTGAAAAGTGCAAGAAACATTAAGAGAGACATTACCAGATGAACTAACCAATTCAGTCCTTCAAGATAATTCAACAAATTTTATCTGTTTGACAGATAGTAGCAAATGTTTGAGTAAATCAACCCCTATTCTTCTAACAACAGGTATTTTAATAGGAATCATCGTCGGTCTGGTGACAATTGTAGGAATAACAACAAGATTATCCGTTTACATTTTCCACCATTTGAAATTACGAAAGAAACCACAAGACAAATCTAAAACCTCAAAAATGGATAGAGTGATTAGTTCTACAACACGAAGACCTGTCAAGAATCGATCTACAAAGCAAAAATTGAATCTACGAGAACTAATAAGACAAGTATTAAATGTACTATATGAAATATAGTGGGGGAAAAAGGGAAAAGCGTCAGATGTCGTCCATATATCCAAGTTACATTTGTACAACAACCCAATCTTGGATCTACAAAGTGGGGGGATGTAAGGGTGTAGTTAATCCTCCAAAACCGGAAGCGGTTAAGACAATAGGGCAGGTGTGGAACAAAAGAAGATCAAGACAGAAGCTTCTAGAAGGTCAAGAGGAAAGGACCCCATGCAAACAATGGACATCAAAATACATGACAAAGAAACTTTACATATATTTAAAATTTATTAATTTAAGATAGAACTAATTAATTCTTTGATATCTTTTTTATTTCACTAATTTTGTCTTTATTTAATCTAAAATAATTTTTTTATTGCATTAAATTAAAAATTTTTTAAATGAAATGTTATTTATTTCTTAAAGTACAAAATTTCTACCTATTTAATTTTGGTCACTTTTATGCAATACTGTATTCTATAATCTGCTTGTGAAGAAACGCAACTAATTAAATAAAAATTTATTGATGTAATTATCGGTATTTGTCTTTAAACTTTGCCCTCCCTGCAAAATTTTCTGTAGCTGCCTGCGTAAATATACGTAAATCATTTATTATTTTCAAAAATGCAAATATAAAAAAGCTGATAAAAAATTGTGTTATGAGATTTATAATTAACCAATTACTAACTTACAAGTTATCATAAAATGATTTGTATCATACTTGTTTAAAACAAGAAGTCTAATTAAATACTGTCAATTTGTGTATATAGTATAGTGTAGAATGCATATTATCTTTTATTAATAGAAAGGTGGTTAATAAATTACTTAATCCATAATATTCTTAGTCTTAAATACAGTAATTATTATATATAATTTTAAAATATTTATTAGAACATTAATTTAATATATATTAAGAAAAATTTATAACAATGCAGGATACTGTACATTTGAGGAAAATTTATGCACTTGGTCACATGGAGATGGTGATATAGAATGGCTTCGGAATACCGGAAAAGCAGTTTCTTCAGAGAAAGGACCGGATGTGGATCATACAAAAGGAAAAAAAGGTTTTCAAAGAATTATATATAAATATTAAATTATTTATTTATTTGTAAATGGAACTTGTGATGAACTATTAACCAGATGAACTAGGATCAAATCTCTGTGACATCTGGTTTCTGCCTGTCACTGTTTGTTCAGGTCCACTCAGCTTTCTTTAGAATGAGTTGATGATCTCCTGTAGATAAAAAAGTAGCATTAGCATGAGGTTGGTCATTCCACCTGTTTTGTTGGCTAAGTCATGAATAGGGAAAGCCATATACTCTCTCTGTCTCGTGTCTTCTTGGCATTCCTTAAAGACTTATTTTTATTTTGTAGTGAAAACCCCTCTAAAAGACCTCCCTCATAAAGGCCACTTTTACTAAAAACTATTGGTGGTTGCAAAGTAGGAGTTTTTACTATATTTGTGAATATAATTAATCATCCAAATCTCACTTTTACTAGGTATGATTATTTATTAATTTCTTTGCAAGTCCATAGCTGTTCTCCTCTTGTACTCATACCTTTATGCCCATTCTTTTATACGTCAAACCCCTCTCCTTCTTATTTGCTTCATGAAGGTGGTTCCCCTCAAGCACCTACCACTGGATCTAAATTGTTTGCTTCCAACTAAGGAAATATAGGTATATATATATATTACCTAAGTATTGAATGCAGCCATTATTTCATAAAATACCTGCCTGGTTTAGATAAAGCATGGTATGAATTAAAAATTATATAGTTTAACTGGTTATTCTATGAATTAACTAATTGATGTTAGAGTATGTAATAGAAGTAATAAACTAGATGCATGTCAAACTTGTCAAATTATTATATTTAACATAATAAATAAATACTGTAAAACTATAATAATTTCTGTTTATTATAACAAGGAATGATGGAGTGGCATTTGGAATTGCAGAGAACATTATTTTTTTTAGACAAGCACATCTTTTGTTGTCACACTGGTTTTTACATGAGTATTTTTTTGAAGCCCTGATCTGTACCAACATTTTGGGTTGTAGAGACAGACAAGAATGGTATCTCATTAGTAATATTAATATCAATTTTGTCAATTGACATTAATTTATGTTCACAGATACTAAATTGATTTCTGCAATATAGCTGTTTGATGCACCCATTTCTTGTTTCAAATCAATAAAATCTTTGACTAGTTTCTTCCATAACAACAGCAAGAATGGATCTGGCATCCTCTCATCCTCTGTCAACGTCAAGCATTGGGATATGAACTGTCATTTCTACAGATGCCTCAGAATGTGATTTTTCTGACAGTATTTTCATTATCTTTGCTTGTATTTTCAAACATTCTTTGGCTTCTTCTCTTTCTGGACATTCAGTTTATTTAAACATAACCTGCAGATCTTCTGTTCAACATCATCTGAAATGTAGCTTTTTAGGTAATTTTCAGAATCCCTTGACCAAATGTCACATAATATAGATGTGGCTTCTTCAAACAAAGTGTCCTTATTTTGTATTGCAGACAGAGCATCTTTGAAATTATCTTCATTATTCAATGAATCAAATGCTTCCCTTGGAATAGGTGTTGACAATCCCACTTTAACTGCACACCCAAATGTTGCTTTGTAAGGAGATCTCTTTATACCAGAGTGGAAAGCTCTATTTTTCATAAACTGAATAAATTTTAGACTGTTACTCCATGAAGTAGATTGATTGTCTTGCATCCAGATTGTCAGCATATTTTCTATGTCTTTGTTGGCGATCTCTATGCTTCCTTGACTCTTTTTTACTTGGTTTTCCATGAACAATTTTAAGTTCTGGCCAAGTTATTTTAAGTCTTCTATGAGCTTATTGCAAGATTTGCAGCCATTATCAGACTGGAGGATGCAGGGTGCACCAAGAAGCAGAAATATATCGGTCACAGGTTCCAGTAGTGCAACAACAAATTTAGTCAAATGATCTTGGTACAAACTTGTATTGGGAATATCTGACAAAAATTTGTTAGAGAACATATATAGAAAGCAGTTATGGCAACAAGACAATTGAAACTGTTAGGAGACAACAAGCAGCATATATGATTTCTTCTGATATCTGATTCTGATTTCAGGTTGCTTTCTGTTGAATCTAATAACATTTGTGTTATTATATGTTATTATATTTAACAGAAGGCAACCTGAGCAGTAAAATTATGCTTAGGTTGCCTTAACAACCTAAGCATAATTTTATAGCTCCTCTTATGTAATTATAAGCAAATCTAGACAATGTGGGAGCTGTAAGTGGTGTGGTCATTTAGAGCTTTGAAATAAAATATTAGATTAAGACTAAATGCTGAACTTTATAGTTATAAATATATCTAGGTGTGTCACATCAAGTCTGGTATTGTCATCAGGAACAAAAATATTACCACCTGCCTTGTTTTCCAACACACCACAGAATGCATTACCACTGTCTGTGTTACCAACAATAACACTCACCTTTACATATGTTCCGTCTACATTCCAGACACCACTAACATTGAGATGGCCATAGAAGTCATTCATCACATCCTGAACTCATACAAAGACAAACCTATCTTAATTGGAGATGATTTCAATGCCAAGTCTGTGATCTGGCATAGTCCAAAAAATGACCCTAGGGGTAACATAGTTAATGAAACCATGGCCCAACACAACCTTACTCACTTGAACAACAGCACCCTTCCAACCTACTCTTGTACCACGGGAAAATTGAATCGACCTAACATTAGGAAACAGTCACATCACTGCTAGGGTCAACCAGACCACTGTTACCCTACCAACATAGATTCTGCCAGATTTTCACCCAACTGAACACTATTAGTAATTCTAATAATAATAGTTTTCACTATACTTGCACTAACTGGCAATTATTCCGCGACACCTTCAATAACATTTGGGCTGGTACCCCTCATCACAATCACTATACTCAGGACACCTTAGACCATCTTGTCACCAGGCTTATAAATACAGTCACTAACTCTCACGTTATTGCCTCTGAGGTCAAATGTTGTAAACACAAAAAGGTTCCTTGGTGGACCACTGAGCTAGAAAACTAGAGAAAAGTCATTAGGAGATTAAAGAGGCAATTTAGGAATGAATAGGACCTGGACATTAAAGTCACACTTAGAGACCAGTACAGGCACAAACACAATGCTTACAAAACTCTTATAAATAAAACAAGGACTAACACTTGGAAGGATTTCTGTACCAACACTTGCAGTCACAATCCCTGGTCTGAAACGTACTACGTAGCTTGTAAGGAAGAACGCCAGCTCCAAACCCCTCCATTATCCAGCTCCCTGATGGTCGCTACACTAAAAACACGGAGGAAACTATCACAGACATTCTCACTAGTCTTTACCCTTCGGATGACCCACAGCAGGATGACAGTACATAAATGGTCATCAGAAGTTCTACACTCACTCTGCCTAACACAGATAATGACCATAGCTTCACCTACATTGATGTTTCAATTGCCATTCATTCACTCACCAATAACAAAGTTCCGGGCCATGACGGCATAACCACTAGGATGATTAAACATGCGTTTGAGACCAATTCTACAGCGTTTGTAATTCTCTTCAATATCTGCTTGAACACTGGTCTTTTTTCTACTCAGTGCTAGTGTTAAATTGTGAAAAAGGCTAATGTTAAATTGATTCCCAAACCCACCAGCGCTAACACTTACAAAAATATAGACAAATCTGCCTTCTCCCTACTCTGGGAAAAGTGTTAAGTGGTCTAATGATTAATAGGTCACTTGGCATCTATGAAAGTGGAGAGCCCTGCACCAGAATCAGTTTGGCTTCTCTAAAAACAAAGGTACTGTAGATGCCATCCACCAGGTTGTTGATTACATCCACCAGGCTAAGCTTAACACTTTTAGTTTCCAGCAATTTTTAATATCAATTTAATTACGTTAATATTAATATTAATATTAACGTAATTAAATTGATATTAAAAATTGCTGGAAACTAAAAGTGTTAAGCTTAGCCTGGTGGATGTAATCAACAACCTGGTGGATGGCATCTACAGTACCTTTGTTTTTAGAGAAGCCAAACTGATTCTGGTGCAGGGCTCTCCACTTTCATAGATGCCAAGTGACCTATTAATCATTAGACCACTTAACACTTTTCCCAGAGTAGGGAGAAGGCAGATTTGTCTATATTTTTGTAAGTGTTAGCGCTGGTGGGTTTGGGAATCAATTTAACATTAGCCTTTTTCACAATTTAACACTAGCACTGAGTAGAAAAAAGACCAGTGTTCAAGCAGATATTGAAGAGAATTACAAATGCTGTAGAATTGGTCTCAAACGCATGTTTAATCATCCTAGTGGTTATGCCGTCATGGCCCGGAACTTTGTTATTGGTGAGTGAATGAATGGCAATTGAAACATCAATGTAGGTGAAGCTATGGTCATTATCTGTGTTAGGCTGAGTGAGTGTAGAACTTCTGATGACCATTTATGTACTGTCATCCTGCTGTGGGTCATCCGAAGGGTAAAGACTAGTGAGAATGTCTGTGATAGTTTCCTCCGTGTTTTTAGTGTAGCGACCATCAGGGAGCTGGATAATGGAGGGGTTTGGAGCTGGCGTTCTTCCTTACAAGCTACGTAGTACGTTTCAGACCAGGGATTGTGACTGCAAGTGTTGGTACAGAAATCCTTCCAAGTGTTAGTCCTTGTTTTATTTATAAGAGTTTTGTAAGCATTGTGTTTGTGCCTGTACTGGTCTCTAAGTGTGACTTTAATGTCCAGGTCCTATTCATTCCTAAATTGCCTCTTTAATCTCCTAATGACTTTTCTCTAGTTTTCTAGCTCAGTGGTCCACCAAGGAACCTTTTTGTGTTTACAACATTTGACCTCAGAGGCAATAACGTGAGAGTTAGTGACTGTATTTATAAGCCTGGTGACAAGATGGTCTAAGGTGTCCTGAGTATAGTGATTGTGATGAGGGGTACCAGCCCAAATGTTATTGAAGGTGTCGCGGAATAATTGCCAGTTAGTGCAAGTATAGTGAAAACTATTATTATTAGAATTACTAATAGTGTTCAGTTGGGTGAAAGTCTGGCAGAATCTATGTTGGTAGGGTAACAGTGGTCTGGTTGACCCTAGCAGTGATGTGACTGTTTCCTAATGTTAGGTCGATTCAATTTTCCCGTGGTACAAGAGTAGGTTGGAAGGGTGCTGTTGTTCAAGTGAGTAAGGTTGTGTTGGGCCATGGTTNTAGCTTTAAATAACCTTACCGAAGTAAAATCCATGCACTACAACTTTAGAACAATGATTGAAATTTGATATCAAAATCCCATTAAAAAACAATTAAGCATTAATGGTGCGTCATTAAAGGTAAATTAAAATTGCTATAAAATTTTTTCGCGCGGGTAAAAATTTTTGAAAAATTTGGAGACCTAAAAAACATTCCAAAAATTGAAAACAAAAAATTTTTTAAGGGGCGAAAGGACCGAGTTTTCTGTAACGCTATGTAAACCTGCCCGAGTTAACTCAGGCGAGAAACTAAAAGGGTTAATAATCAGCATACGTCAATAATCACTATTGACTTTAGAGGGCCTTTGATCATGCCTGGTGACCTTTTATCTTGCGCATATTACACACTCATCACTGCCCCCAAAATCTTTACAAACTTCTTCAATCCTATCTTAGCGACAGGAGTACAGGTGTTTATACAACACAAAATAACATAATCATATCCATCATTCAGGGATCTAGGTCTGGTTCTGGTCTCTAGAACATAGTCTATAACTCTATCTTGCACTTAAACGACACCCTGCCTCCTGGCTGCTGCATACAGGGTTATGTGGACGACACAATTATCCTAGCTTCACACAGGAACAGTGAACACTTACAGGACATATGCAATGACATTCTCAATAACATTCACCAGTGGCATATTAAGCATAGGCAACCCATTAACACAGACAAATGCGAAAGTATGATAGTTGGTAGGAATGCACCACTTGTCAGGAAGCTTTTCCTTTGAATAGGTGCTCACAGAATAAAGCAAACAATGGAAATTAAATATTTAGGTGTTATTCTTAACTTCACACCCCACATTAAATACACTACAGACAAAGCTAAAAAGACAGCCAACACCCTCATTAGTATTGCTAGGAACACATGGGGTCTTGGACCTACTGCTACTAAACTTATTTACAGGGACACAATTCAGCCAGCACTCCTCTATGCCGTACAGGTCTGGGCCACGTGGCCGCCAAAGTCCATAATCATAAAAATCTGTTATCTGTTCATAGGATTGCAGCTCTCCGCATTTGTAAGGCTTATATGACCGTACCCACTAGTGCCCTTTTGGTAATGTCAGGGTTGATTCCTAGCAACTTAAAAATTAAACGTATTATTTGGCACGAAAATCTCGTCACCTTACTCTGGCGAGACTATAGGGGCTCAGATGTCAACAAAATGATTAGAGTAAGTAAGATTCCCCCCTAGTCTAATCTTGATCAATGATATCAAAAAATTCATCATCGACAAAAACACCCCCCCAACTTACGAATACCACCCCACCCCTCCCATCAGCTTGCCCCTGTGTTTACTTCAAAGATCCAAATTATCATCCCATGTTTAGGGTTTACACTGACAGTTCCAAGATGGGTGACAATGTGAGTGCCACTTTCGTAATTTACTCTGACTTAGGCCGCAAACTTCACAGCACTTGCTTCCGTCTATGTACACACTTCTCAATAGCACAGGCAGAAACTTTAGCTATTTATATAAGCTTAATACACATTAGGCATAGGAAGGACAAAAGACACTACTTACATTATTGCATTTATTCTGACAGTAGGGTAGCTTTACACAGGATTGCAAAGTCTGATAGCCGCTTAAAACTCATCCATCTCATACACCACATTCTCAGACACTTAGACAACAACATTAGAATAGATTTCCAATGGGTCCCTGGTTATGCAGGGTTCTCAGCAATGAGATTGCTGACTGTCTTGCCAAACAAGCTGCAAAGTCTGCAGTCACTAATACTTTCAGTTATATTTCTCTCATACATCAACAATCACGTCAAGAAGCAAATCTTAATTCTCTGGCAAGACAGCTGGGACCGTGACACCACTGGTAGGCTCACCTACACTTTCATCCCTGAGGTTTCCACTACTGCGATTCTTTGCCAGTTTTATTCTAGTTACACCCTGACTCAGCTACTTACAGGACATGGCAACTTTAAGCAATACTTGCATAGATTTAACCTTGGGAATTGTGGTATTCAGGAGGACCAAACACCACTTCATTTAGTTTTTTGCTGCAATAGGTACAATCACATTAGGGATAGCTTAATGAGAACTGCTATTCTTGAAGGGTACAATTGGCCTTGCAACTTGCACCAACTCATTCACACACATACAATGTTCCATTATCTACTTGCATTCATATCCCTTAGTGGGGCTCTTGAGAGCACTCATTCCAGGGGCATGGATGGCAATTAGCTTTCTCTTGTTTTGTTTCAACTGTTGGTATATAGCTACCTTTCAACTTTGTATTTATTTCTTATTTTTCATCTTTTTTTCAGTCTAAATTTGGTGAGTTCTAGTTGTAAGTTAGATTAGGGACTATTAACTTGGTTTCCAGTTAGGTTATGCTAGGTTAGGTTAAATTAGATTAGAGTTTGTTAGCTTTAGTTGTCTGGTTAAGTTCATCCTAGGTTATGGTAGGTTAGTTTAGTTAGTGAGTAAGTTAACATTTAAAAAAATAATAATAAATAAATAAATAAATAAATAAAACATAAAAAATTTTGGGTCTTGCTTGTTTATCTCTGTCAGTTTGTTCGTCTCGTCTAGTTTGTCATTGTGCTCATTTGCTTTTTGTGTCGTCTATCCAGCTGTTAAGTAGTATTAAGATTTGCAATTGCTTTCAGTTTTATTAGTATTAAGTAGATATATGTCTTCCTACTAACAGCCACTTGGCACTAACTTTTACACTTAGCTATTCGTGGCGGCACTCAATTATTGGTGTTCACTACACTCAGGTTTTCTTTTAGACCCTTCAATGTCCATTGAAGAGTCTAAAAGAAAACCGGAGTCTAAAAAGCTGCAAGTCTAAAAAGTGCACCCCAATGTCAAATGTAGAGGGTACTGTAGCCATATGTATGTCGTTCAGAGGGATCCTACCTTTTTCTACTGTCTATCTCTTCTCCCTCTTTCTTCCCCTCCCCTTTTCCTTACCCTCTTTTCTGCTGGCTAAACACCTCGTGTATGGCCGATGTCTTTCTTGTATGTATGTATGTATGTATGTATGTGTCCCTCATTTCCATTTTTTTATTTTTTTCTATTATGTAAATTTAATATATGTATAAGATATTGTACATTCAAAAAGATTTCGTTTATGGCATTATATTTCCACCATGTGCAGTCTGTGCATAGGTTTGTGGTGTAACATTAACTATAAAGCATGATGATTGTTCTGAAGTCTAATTGTTATTGGTAGTTGTAGTAATTCTTAATTATTTTTGGTTATAGATTTTACAACAGATCCAAATCCATCCAAAGAAGAACAATGGACAATTTCTGTCAACTGAAGGTTCCAGTTCTGCAGAAATGTATTGATAGATGATAGCAATTTACTCGGATGATTGCCTGTTTGTGGCATCTCTGTAATAACTTATTTTGTACATACAGTCATCTCTGTAAATTGCAATCATCCATTGATGAATTTCTTTAAGGCCAAAACTTCAGCTGACAGAAATTGTATCACTGTTCATTGGTCTACTTTTGATGGAGTTGGAAACTGTTGTGAAATCTGTTACCAAAAAAAATTAACACTTAGTTCTACTACCTTCAACAATTATATTTCAAAACAATCATTATACTCTATAGTTAATCTTACACCATGGTGCAAACACAATACCCCGAACAGGAACTTTTTGAACATGTTTTATAGATAGCTTGATAAAACCCATCATATCATTTGGTATTATTAAAATATATTTTCTTTTTTATTTTTATAATTTGATTACTTTATATAGATATTATTTTTATGATTAGTATGATTTTACAATACTCATTTTAAATGTTATAAAGCATCTAATATACTTTTACAGGATATTACATCTTTATAAATATTGAAAATAAAACTCCAGGTATGGTTGCAATATTGAAAAGTGATATGTTTCCACCAATAAGAAATAAAAAACGGTGCATGGGCTTTTGGTATAACATGAATGGCACTGACGTTGGATCTTTAAAGGTACTTTTTAAATTTAAACTATATTCTTTTGTGTATTGTAGTTTTTATGTTTTACATGGCAATCATTCATTAATTAAAAATATTAGAAAAATTAGTTCATTATTCTTAAACTCCTATCTCTAGTTATCTAAAGATTTTTATATTTTTTATTATCAAAAAGTAAAACTAAATATTTTCAGAATTTCTATCTAAATCTGTCTTCACTGTACAAAATATCATCAATTATATATTGGTGTATTACATCTAGAATATGAGTTTTTAATCTGGAATCCATGACTTTAAGAATTTAACTGCTTTCAAAGCCTTCATGAACTTGAATGAGGAAAAAATTATACCTTTATTTTTACTAACCTCTATCTCAAATTTAGCATTTCTTTCAATTATGAAAGTGATGTAATAAGTCATAAAAGTATTAGCAGTAGCTGCGACTGTCACCAAATCATGAATTTTCATATGATATTTCAGTGTTGCAGATATTTCAAAAATAATTTATGCTTATCAATACTTTGAAATCACTATTCTTCTTCTTCTTCAACCATTGAGTCGTGTACGACTATTGGTGACTTCATGGACGAGTTTCGTCCAGTGAGTTCTGTGCAGTGCCCAGTTTTTCAGGGATTTGAAGTTGAAGCAGGTATCTGCTTTGACGTTATCCATCTACCTGGTGCATTGCTTTCTCTTTTTCTATGTCCCTCAACCATTCCCAGCATGATCTGTTTTTCTAGGGGGTTGACGTGAATGGTGTGACCCTTTGGTCACACCATTCACATCAACTCCTTTGGTGAACCCTTTGATCACACCATTCACTTTAGCCTCAAGCAAACACTCTTTGCCTCCAGGGAGATTTGTGGCTGAATTTTATCTAGGACTGCTTTATTAGTTGTTCTAGCTGTCCACGGAATTCTGAGAATCCGCCGCCAACACTAAAGTTCAAAAGCATCTATCCTTCTTCTGTTGCTTTTTCTTACTGTCCAGCTTTCACAGCCATAGGTTGTGATGGGAACACAATTGTCTGGACTAGTCTGGCCTTAGTGGATATTGTGATATCTCGACTTTTCCAGATGTTGTCCATCTTGGTTAGAGCAGTGCAGCCTAGGGTTAACCTTTGTTTGATCTCCTCTGTGCATTCTCCTGTTCTGCTTAACTTTGAACTTTTGGATGCTTAGCTTTAGGCCCATCCTCTCATTGTCATCTTTTATGTTCTTAATTAACGTGACCAGATCATCTTCAGATTCTGCCAGTAAGGTTCTATCATCAGTGTACCTTAAGTTATTGATGACCTTGCCTCCTATGTGGAACCCAAGGTAGGTGACCTGAGAGGCTGACCATCTGAAAATCATCTCTGCATATGTATTAAACAGTGAAGGTGAAAGCATGCATTCCTGCCTAACTTCTCTGTCCACTGTTAGCCATCTTGTGTTGCCATAGACTGTTCTCACTGTTGCTTCCTGGTTTTGATAGAGTGCCTGAAGTAGATTAATGGTATGATCAGAGAGACCCATATCCTCCATATTTTCCACATTTTATTGAGGTCTACACAGTCAAAAGCTTTACTGTAATCAATAAAGCACATGTAGACATCTTTTTGAAATTCTATTGCTTTTTCCATTATCCATTTCAGTAACACATATATATTGCTATATGATAAATTTTTTCTTTTTAATATTTTGATAAGTGTATTTTAATATATTAGTTTTCTTCGTAATTTTATACATTTAAAAATGTTATTCTGAGAAGGCATTCATTGGCTTGGCTAGACTGCCAAAGGAATCCATGGCATAAAAAAGGTTCAAAGTCTCTGCTCTATACAACGAAAGAGTTTAAGAGATTTAAATTTGTCATATTGTTAAATATTAATGTGTTTTTAGTATGTTAATATTCAGTAATTAGAACAACACAAATTACTAAATTTATATTAAGTCAAGGATATCTTCTTTGCAATATTTGTTATTTGTTTTAGAGTCTGTTTTTCAAAACAAGTAAACAGTACATATTGATGCTGATACAACTAATTATCTTAATTATTTTTAATATAATATATTATTGTAATTTTTATTATATTTTAGGTGAATATAAGTATAGATGGTGTTACAAGTGATCCTCTTTGGGAATTAGACGGTGGACAAGGACCAAATTGGCAAAAAGGGACTGTTCCACTCGATTCAGCAATTAAAGGATATCAAGTAAATATGAAATATTTATTTAATTTTATTGACTAGTTAAAGACTTAATTTAAACTTGAAAATTTTAAATTTTAAATACTAAACTTTTTGAAAATAAAATAGAAAAAGAAGAAAAATAAATTACATCTTATTAATTTTTTAAAAGTAAGTAATAATGTAATTTATTTTTTCATATTTATGACTGAATCATGATGCTAAATCCTAATTTACAAAATACTACTAAATTTGACATTTTCATTGACATAAAATAGTAGACTACTAAATGGAACTTATCAAATGTAAAGTGTTCCAAGGAATGCTTTTGATCAGAATTTGATCATAATCGGCCAACTGCCTAACATATAAAATCAAACATTTATACTTGAACAAATTGGAATAGAAGTTTGAGGATTCTTATCAGATGTAGTCATGGTTCCAATATCATATGTGATGATGCAGTCATCAACCCTTTTGATCAAGAAGGCTAATTGTCAGGGGCATAGCCACAGTTCGGCAGGGTGGGTCAATCACTTCACTCTGGCTCATTTAGTCGAACGAAAAATTATAGGTCAGTAGGTTATAATAGTATTGCGTGGCAAGAAAGCATGTTTGAATTGTGGCAGGAAGACGCTATCATGCTGATCGGTGACAGGAGAGCTCTCTGGTGAACAAGTGGGGAACTGGTGGTTCAAGGTCTGGATGGTCTATGGTAAAACTCAAAGATTATAGAATGTTCATGGTTCAGATTTAGCAGGAAAGTTCTAGTACCTTCTGTTCCCTATTTAAGCGCTGCAATAAATGCAAGTGAGTGAGTTGATGCATTTCAGCTTGTTCAGAAATACCGCGAGCAAGGTTTATTTGAAACATTGTTGCGTCAATGTGCAATACTGGATTTCTTATGTTGTTTTAAATTAATAAGTGCTGTATTTACTTCTATTGTATGTTGTAAGCTGAACTTTGGTACAATTAATGGAAAGGAAAAAATGTACCAAATACTGAACTGAAGGAGATAGAATTAGCTGCACTAGTTAAAGAAATGTAATTGTTCTACCCATCCATAAAACAGCGCTACTTATCTCACTTGCACAGCCCTGCACAACATACACTATCAAAAAATCCTTCAGCACCTTACACAGGGTAAAATCTTGGATACGGTCAACGATGACAGAAAATCGGCTTGTTGGTCTTTGTATGAGGAGTGTGCATAAAAAGAGGACTCTGGAAGCTAAAAATAAATTTGAGAAAGAAATTTTGACAAGATTTAGCCAGAACTTCCATGAAATAAGATTTAGATGGGTTCAAATAGCACTGCAACTAATTACTTTTAGCATTTTCAAATGTTCAAATAAAACCATTTTTTAATAAACAATGTTATTCTTATTTTTGCCCCCTGGAGAAAATCCTGACTATGCCCATGCTATATATTTCAAAAAACTGGGTACTTAATTATATAACACTCACCAAATAAACCATCACCAATTCATAACCAACCAGAAAAATTCTTTCTATGAACGTTTTCATTTATATGTAATAGACATCCTCAGGTATTGATGATATCGAACTTACAGCTAGTAGAATAGAATGTCTTTGAAAGTTCCGTTTAACTACATAATTCGAATACATTGCGTTAAAATTGAAAACATTCGTAGAAAGAATTTTTCTGGTTGGTTATGAACTGGTGATGGTTTATTTGGCAAGTATTATATGCCCATGCTAATTGCTCAGTAGGGTGAGAGGTGTGAAATGTCATATTTATATATGAGTATACTCAGTGGTGATATTCAGTGGGTTCGCACAGGTTCGGCCGAACTCGTTGTTAACATTTTCAAAGTTTTCCGAACCCGTTGTTAAACACACGTAACATTTCTCAGTGGTTTTGTTTCTTTTAAAAAATATATTAAAATATACATATTATACTCTGTAACACTACTAAACTAGAGCCTTATACCCTGTTCGCCTAGTGCATCCTCCATCGACCGTTTCAATCGCGATTGACTCAAGAGAGTTCTCGAAACTAGATCCAGTCATAAGAGAGATCCCACAATCCTACGCACGCGAGAAAATACAAGGTGGCTGCAGAACACGTGTCCAGCTATCGACAGCGAAATAAGAAAGATATTGTGTTTCGAGAGACGATGACATCTGTCTATTATAATAATAATACCTAACGATAAAATAAATGATTTAGAAAAAGTTTTTCTTGTTTAACTGCTTTCCCTATGACTTTTTCTGATAAAAAAAAGCCAATTTTTATGTTTCTAAAATATTTTGAATGAAAAATATTAAAATATGTACAAAATAAACCATTTTGAACACTCTTTTTTATTATTTATAAAAAAATATAGTTCTGGCATAAGCAATGTNTAAAATATTTTGAATGAAAAATATTAAAATATGTACAAAATAAACCATTTTGAACACTCTTTTTTATTATTTATAAAAAAATATAGTTCTGGCATAAGCAATGTTAAATTTTAACTGACTTAATTTTGCGAATGCATCTTTTTTATTTATATGGGTATCTTAAGGTCAGTTTTTTGCGCTAATGTTGCTAATGCACCATTGGAGTGAAAAAAAAATTGTTAAGGAAAAATTTTCTGTTAGCGAACCCTTTGTTAAATATTTCGAATATTACCACTGGGTGTAGTGGACACTGAGGCTAGAGGCCATTTACATAAAATCTATTTATTAGAGTAAGGTTAGCTTACAAACATTTCAAAATCTTCTCAGTCAAAAGTTTATGGAAAATTTTTGTTCACAATTGAGGAAAGTTTCAGATATATCCCACAGGATTCTGAAAGGATGATCCTGGGACTATCCACATTTCTAAAATTCTAAACATGATGTCCTGATGTGATGAGGGTCCAAATAAGCTCAGTTTTAGTGCAGAGCAGTCTTCTGAAAGAACAAAGTTTAGGAGGAAAAGACATATCTGGGAAAAGACTTTCAGGACTTTTGATTGAAAGGCATACATAGAACTTTTTTTGTGAAAAATAACTCACAAAAGGAACCTTGTATCCTTGAGAGACAGGTTTTTATCCATTTGGTTTAGTGATCATCCATTCCAATTAGTTTGGGTTCTCTATCCACACTTTATGATTGGTCTCTATCTTTTTCCAAGCATAACTCGAGACCAATTTAGATTGCAGGCAAGATTAATGTTGATGTTTAATACAACACTGAATTTCAATCCCAACCAGAGATTGTTGATCTTTGGACTTACGTTGTTTATTTCTTTTATTCATTCCTTTATTATTTAGTGGAGCTTAGATCTGGTTCGGAGCCTTACCAAAGTTTTTGTTCAATTTGTTTACATTCTGAGTTATATATTTGTAAACTAAGAATAATATTTAATTAATGACACTTTAATATAAGATAATAATTATATGAAACGTTAAAAATCACAATAAAAGTAAATTATAATTTTTTTTATAAAGGTAATATTTGAAGGAACTGTTGGAAAAGGAAAAACAGGATTTATTGCACTAGATGATGTCTATTTTACAGATGGTGATTGTACAATTTCTCCATTAAAAGCAGCTTTATATAATTTAGGTAATGTTTAATAGTTGATATATTTATTTTTAATTATATGTCTTTTAGTTAATATTTTTGTAGTATATTTTATCTAACTTTATCTTATGAAATTATGGAAAAGAAAAAAAAAATCTAATTAGGAAAAGATTTGAAATCCATTTAAATAAATGTCACTTTTCATTTTAATATTAGTTTTTCTATTTTATGTATATATAAACAATGAAATTATCAAATTCTCCTAATCATTAATTTTAATTACTCTAATTATAACCTGTTTAGATAAACAATAGTACATAAAAGGAAATTTTATTACTATCTAATTAAACTATCTATTTAGAAACATTCTTTTGAATAATACATATGTAATATAAATAAAACATACTTTTTTAACATAATGAACATAAGAAATATGAAAAATATAAAATTTCAAAAATCAATTAACATTTAATTGAACGTTAAATTCTGTTAAACTCGAGTGTGATATTTGTTGGTGGAGTTAAATAACTTAATCAAGATTACCTTGCTTCTTCAATAAAAACATGTCCATTTTTTAATAATATATAACAAATCAAATTTTAAATCATAATCTAATATGTACCGTATTTACTCGCATATAAGACGAGGTTTTCTATCATTTTTTACTACTTCAAAAACCTACGTCATGTATGCGTGAGCAAAGGATCCTTTGCGTTTTTGCAATAATTTCTGTGAACCACGTATAGTTCATGTTGTCATTATAGGTCTACAGTCCATTTATTGTAAATTGGCACCTATTGTAAACAAATTAACACACACTCCCTTTGTTTATTTGTTTAATCCTACGTTCATCAATTAAAAATCACTTTGCATCTCATTCGTCTGCAGAAAATAGTTTTTTGTTATTTATAAAATTATTAATGAAATACAAGTCACTTAGAAATGATTATAAATGTAGTTATTTCATATTAGTTAAATTGTTATTTTTAATGAATATTAGCACATTATGAATCATTAAAAAAATAAACTTTTTCTGGCCATGTGCATTATAATATTTTAGTTTTGTTTTCTATTCATCACATATTAAGGCAAACATCATTGTTTGCCTTTAATACATGCATTTGATAATATTTTATTTGTTATTAAATGAAATAAAATTAGAATTGTATTGATAAATCCAATTTTCTTTATTTTGGTCTCTAAAGTCATACCTTGTCCTATATGCAAGATTGTCTTATATGTGAGTAAATGTGGTATATCTATATATATAATCGAGATGGGTTGATAATAATAATAAGTGCAGAGCCCAAACAGTTAGGAGTTGAAAGTTAAAATTGGGTACACACTTAGGGTATGTCACGAGAGCACACGCTAAGAAGGGATTTTCAAAATTCCCCCTGAGGGAGGGGATTAAGGCTTACTCTGAAGAATTCAGCTTCTATTGTATTATTTTAGATGTGGTTTTTTGAACTTTTGACTGCGTTTTAGTAGGCTATCACATTTAGTTAGGTACCACAGGGGATGAAAGAAGTGTATTCCTTAACAATGGAAATGTTAACATGAAAGTGTTAAGAATGGAAATGTTGAGTAACAATGGAAGTGTTAAGAGAAAGCGGTGTGCAAGATTTACAGACATAGATGCAGTTTTTTCATTTTTGTGGGAAATCAAACATATTTTTAGACCCATCTAAAAATTATTTTATTACTCTGGAAATGGTGGACCTAATTCTTGGATTCTGTGAAAATGGCTAAGATTGGCTATAATGTAATTATCTTAATCTTCGCTATCGTTACTTTTTGCCTGAGCAATGCTGGGCTTATCTGCTAGTATATATATATATAAGATTAGATATATAGATATATATAAGATTAGATATATATATATATATATATACGGACAAAGCAGAAAAGGAAAAATTGTTTC